CTGAATAACATCTCAACCGCTACACAAAGTAACATTTGTTGATTTCAAATTTTTTAATCATGTTGGTTTTTGAATTGTATAGTAACTATAGGGAAAGAAAATATGACATGGGATCAGGTATTTCAGAGATGCTGTATTTATGGTCTAAAACAAGCATTGTAGTTAAAAAGTCAAGGTCAGCCAAGCTTTATTCTTTTTTTTCACTGACATTATAAGCCATCATCTTTGGTATAAAATCAGCTTTAATAATCCCAAAGCCACCCAAATGTATCTTTGTTATACCTGACAGTTCAGTTGTTTTATTTATCCTTTTATGAGATTAAGATAGCCCTGTGGTAACACGCCTTTTGTATTGGTTTACTTTTACAAACTCTAAATAAAAATTTGTTGAAAAGCATCGTTTTAACATCCTCCTTCCTGCAGTGCATAAATCACAGCGGGACTTAAAAGACATGCCAATTTGGGAAATAAAGGTGCTTTTGTGTTTGGGTTTACATTCCCAGCATGATCTCGTGCTAATACCTGCTTGCATTTATATGTGTGTTCTTGATGTTTGTGGGGGAGATTTTTACAGAACAAAACGGAAGCCTTTGTTTCACCTTGGCTTCAAGAGAAGAAAAAAAAAAAAGGAAAAAAGCTGAAATCTCTAGCCAAATTGTAAGTTCCTCTGAAATTCACACTCTGCAAAGTGGAAAAATAAAAAACAAAAAACAACAAACAAACAAACCCCCCTCCCCAAAACCCCCACGGGATTTAAGCTACGTTTGACTCTTTCCTGTTCCCTCGGCAATCATGTTCAAAAAATCAGTGATCTAAGTCTGCTAGAACGAGATCTCAGGTGTTTGTCTTGGAATCATGAGAAACTGTTCAACTCTCCTGGTTTCCTGGTGACAGGAAACAAAATCACCCTCTTGGGTATTCCCACGTTCCTCCCTCCTTCTCTAGCTGAGTTCTCGAGCCTTTTTAGTGTATTACAGGTAAGAAGGAAATTTGTATGTTCTGACATTGCAAATGGCAGACATTTACTTGTGGATGAAAAGTACTTCTCAACCCCCACGGAAGTGAGGTCTGTTGATCTGATCACCTAGACCTGTCAGGGGAATGAGTTGAGTGAAAACAACAAAGGTCAGTGTGGACTAGTTTGGAGAGAATTTAGGAGATTTAACAAGCAAAGAAAGAGATTTCTGCCCCCACCCCGCCCCGGATGGAGCAGCTGCCTGGCTTGAGAAAAACGAGGATGGGAAAGAGTATGCTATGAAAGTCATTTCCAACAAGATTTGGGTAACAGTTAAATTACATATCAAGTATTTCTTGGCCAGTGGACTGGTATCTCATAATACGATGCCACCTGGAACCTGATCAGTCACCACTGGGCTTTATACAGAGGAGACTCCGGGAGCCTGGGTATTCTGGTTGTAGTTGTCATCCTTGTTTTTTTTTTTTTCTTTTCCAAAGATTTTATTTATTTGACAGCGATCACAAGTAGGCAGAGAGGCGAGGGGTGGGGGTGGGGGGAAGCAGGCTCCCCGCTGAGCAGGAGCCTGACATGGGGCTCAATCCCAGGACCCTGAGACTATGACCTGAACCCAAGACAGAGGCTCAACCCACTGAGCCACCCAGGTGCCCCACTGAGCCACCCACGAGCCCCACATCCTTGTTTTAATTTAAAGAACAGTGGGCATTGCTGGGATTATTGGCTCTGGGAGGGAGGACTTTGGCATTGGGGGCACTTCCCAATTGACCTTATCCTGACCTCCACCCTCTCTTACCTCCATGTTGGTAGTGTGCTCTTTTGGGGTTTTCTTCCCATAGGGAAAATGCCAAGGAAGTCCTCCCTCCTCTAGTCCAATCCCATTTGCCCTTTATCCTGGAAAAGGGACCTCACTTTTTCCTGTTTTCCAGGATTAATGCTGAAATTTATCCTACATGTGTATTTCCAGGTGGAATGCCCTGGAAACATTTCAGGATGGGGTGGGTAGAATGTGGGGAGTTAAATGTTCATGTTCACCTGACCATCTTGAATCAGAAGGATACCTTTAATTTGTACTGATTCGTAAAAGGGAAAGAAAGATGAAGTCAAGAAGTTTGGGGGAATGCCTGTTTTAAGGAAAATGATCTGGAATTATTATGTTAAGCACGGCTTTCGGCTCTACAAGAATGTGGTTCTTTCTGCACGTATATGGCAAAATTGTGTCTCTGATTTTGACTCACGACTCATGGTCTTGCTGTGTGTGATAACGAGGCTCAAGGTGGGAGCACAGAGCTGGGGGCAGAGGCCTGGGATGGTCTGTGTCAGGAATACAGTCCTTTCCTTGAAAAAACCAAGGTGCAGATTGTACTGGTTAATCGAATGGAATTATTACTCAGGTTCTGGGTTTTTACAGAGAAAATTGTAGTTTCCAATGTGGTGCCAGGTTCTCATGGAGCTAAGGCTATTGGTTTTCGGGTGAACCCCCAGGGATTTCTGCCCATGAGGGGGCTGCTGAGTACCCAGGCTCAGTGCCACGCCCTCTGTAAACATCATCTCATTTACTACTTACAACAATCCTGCCATGCCATCACCATTTACAGAGGAAGAAACCAAGCTGGGGTAGGGGGGAGCCCCCACAGCCAGCAGCAGCAGGGTAAGGGTGGGAAGTCAGGCAGCTGACAAGGATGCCCTGTGTATTGAGGATTTGTTTGGATTTCAAATTACAGTTATGTACTGGGCGTTACAGACGTGTAACAGCATAGTAAATGGTAAGACTAGTGCAGAACATTTATTTCTGAAAATTAAAGGCCATTATTGCTACCAAATCAATGTGACTGTTGTGTATGCATTTTGCCTTTGTTAATTTTAAATTTTTTTTTAAAGATTTTTTATTTATTTGTCAGACAGAGAGGGAGAGAGAGCAAGCACAGGCAGACAGAATGGCAGGCAGAGGCAGAGGGAGAAGCAGGCTCCCCGCCAAGCAAGGAGCCCGATGTGGGACTCGATCCCAGGACACCGGGATCATGACCTGAGCCGAAGGCAGCTGCTTAACCAACTGAGCCACCCAGGCGTCCCTGCCTTTGTTAATTTTAAACATGATTTCAGTATCACTAGTGATCAGCTAGCAATCTTTTTCATTTTTTCAAGTGGAATGTTTTCTTAATTTTGTATATAACCTGTTGTCTAAATTTTATGTACAGTCTTTTATAATAAACCATTCTCCTATATGCACAGGAAGGTATGGCGAAGGGCCACTTAACATACAAATTCTTTTGAAGTCTGACCTGTGAGGCATTGTCCAGGGCAGCTGGGAAGAAGCTGGGGAGATCGTTCTCCACCCTCTTGCCTCAATTTTGCCCGGCTCTTATTTAGTTTGTTGGCTATGACACTAGAGCCGGAGCTCCCAGTGGGCAGTGACGCCTAAATGAAAAGAACACGCAGACGGGAGTCAGGCAGCCAGCCAGCGCCTTCCTTAGCTCTGTTAATTCCGAACACCTTTTGGAACCTCGTTTTCCACTCGGGCAAGGTGGAGATGACCAGGCCTATGAGAATGGATTGTTTTAAGGGGCGAACAATGCAAGGTGTGAGCCTGGGACACGGAGGCTGCTCAGTAAATGCCTGTTCTGTCTGGTCTTTTTGAGAGTAAATCTTGCATCTTGCTCAGCCTATCGCCCTTGCTCTTGGCACATCATGAGTGCTCAGGAAAATATACCGATTCAATGAATGCAGAGGCAGCAAAAGGAATTTTTCATTCTTGTCAATTTTTAGCAGAATGAGCCCTAAAATGAGGAATACTGAGCATCCAATTTTCCAGGTTCTGGCAGTCACGGTCCGGGAAGTGCCGGTCACAGCGGGGGTCCAGCGTAAATCCCGGAGCCTGGGCGGATGAGGTTTGTACCTGCCAACGCGCAGCGAGGCCCTGGGAAGCCGCCGCCGCCGGCAGAGGGCGCCCCGGGCCTGCCGAGCTCGTGGTGCTGGGGTTGGGGCGCTCTCCGGATGCGGGGCACAGGCTGCAGTCCGGCGTTGACCCAGGCCCGCCAAGCGCCCGCTGCCGGGGCGGAGCTGGAAGTGAGCGCCCTCAGCGCGCAGCGCAGCGCAGCGCATCTGCCAAGCGTGCCGCCGCGCCGAGCCGTCTCCGACAGCGGTGAGTACCTGCGCCGGCCCCGCGCGCCTCACCCTAGTTGGGGGACACTTGGAGACAGCGCAGGTCGGAGCAGGTTGGACGCAGGCGGTTCCAGGGCTTGGTGTGTGGGAGAGTGGGCAGCGTCCTGCTTGCTTCGGTCTTTGGGAAGGGCTAGGGGTCGACCCCACTGAATGTCGGTCGGCCGAGCTTCGCTTTCAGGCGACTCGGGCTTCCTTGAGGTTCTAACGTCTGGCGGGCCCTGTCGCGTGCTGTCCGGGGGTCCGAGGGTCCGGGGGTTAGCCGGTAACCCAGGGCGTGAGACCGCTCACCTGGGCGCCCCTCCCTCCCCCCACCCCCCTGTTTCGCCCGCGGCACCATCCAGGGAACCTCGTGCGGCTGTCGCCCGAAACTCTGCCTGTCAAGAGAAGCCCGCCCCCAGGGCAGGGGAGGGGACGCGGGGGCGGGATGGGCTGTGCCCCACGGGAACCCGGCTGGCCCGTGCGCCCTCCGGTGCCAGCTCGGCTCTCTCTGCCTGGCGTTCCCACGGGCTCCCGGAAGGTAGCGGACAGCGCGGTGGAGAGGCGCAGAGCCTGGCCCCAAGGGGCCAGAGGCCACCCGAGGGGGCCCCGGCTGCTCGGTTCTGGCAAAAAGGCAGCGAAGGGAAGGAGCTCTCCAAGTGACTAGCCCCGGAGGTGCCCTCTCTCAGGGAGGTCCCGGAGCCCCTTTCCCAGGTGTCTCCTTCGGCTTTGAACGGTCTTTAGCCTTTGGAGGGAGTAGGGCAGCGCGGGTCCTGTGGGACCTGGCCTGGGATCATTTCCCCAACCTGCCCTGCGATTTTTGCGCATCAGGAGCCAGACCCCGGGTGCGCGCCCCGGGCAGGACTCCTGCGCGCCTCCTGGGCGTTGTGGAGCCTCGGAGCCTGGCGAAGCCCGCTTTCCGAGCTCGGGGTTGGGGGGGCTTTGCGAAAGACAACCTCAAGGCAAGGTAGGTGGCTTGGATGGAGTTGAAGTGGGTATGATACGCATAAAGCTGTGATCTGCTCAAGTTCTGGCGAGCAACCTTTGCTTTCTTTTTGCCTTTTTAAGGGCGTTTGGAGAGCTGCGGTGGAGCCAGGGACTTGGAGGAGCGAGGCGTGTATTTTCAGCTGCACCTTCAAAAGGGGAGAATTCCGTCACCACCAGAGAGGCAACAGCCCCCAAATATGACTACAATTGCCTAGATCCGCAGAGGCCTGGGAGTCTCTGGATGGATAGCTTAGAATATGCTGAAAAGCCAATGCCTTCCATGGAGGACTGAAGGGCCAGCTGGTCAACAGGACAGTGGCCGGGAGCAAGGGAGTCAGCAGACACTCACAGCCAGCAAGAGGGACCTTCCAAGGGGCTGACGTGCACTGCCAAGGGCAGGCTCCTGCCACGCAATTGTTACAGCCCTCTGATGGAATGCTGGTGAGGTCCTCCACCCAGGGGAGCCTGCGGGGCTGTGCCAGGGACTGCCTGGTGAGTGAGAACTCGTGCAGGTCCGACCGACCCCTTATCCCTGCTTAGGAACTGGAGGGGTTCAGAGCCCCCTGTGTGCTCTCCCTTGGCAAGATGAGGACTCTGAACACCTCTACCATGGATGGGGCTGGGCTGGTGGTAGAGAGAGACTTCTCCTTCCGCATCCTTACAGCCTGTTTCCTGTCTCTGCTCATCCTGTCCACACTCCTGGGGAACACGCTGGTCTGTGCCGCTGTCATCAGGTTCCGACACCTGCGGTCCAAGGTGACCAACTTCTTTGTCATCTCCTTGGCAGTGTCGGATCTCTTGGTGGCTGTCTTGGTCATGCCCTGGAAAGCGGTGGCAGAGATCGCTGGCTTCTGGCCCTTTGGGTCCTTCTGTAATATCTGGGTGGCCTTTGACATCATGTGCTCCACGGCGTCCATCCTCAACCTCTGTGTGATCAGCGTGGACAGGTACTGGGCCATCTCCAGCCCCTTCCGGTACGAGAGAAAGATGACTCCCAAGGCAGCCTTCATTCTGATCAGCGTGGCGTGGACCTTGTCTGTCCTCATCTCCTTCATCCCTGTGCAGCTCAGCTGGCACAAGGCAAAGCCCACGATCTCCTCCGACGGGAACGCCACTTCCCTGGATGACACCCTGGACAACTGTGATTCCAGCTTAAGCAGGACCTATGCCATTTCATCCTCCCTAATAAGCTTTTATATCCCTGTGGCCATCATGATTGTCACCTACACCAGGATCTATAGGATCGCCCAGAAACAGATACGACGCATCTCAGCCTTGGAGAGGGCAGCAGTCCATGCCAAGAATTGCCAGACCACTACAGGTAATGGAAACCCTGTGGAGTGCTCTCAACCAGAAAGCTCCTTTAAGATGTCCTTCAAAAGAGAGACTAAAGTTCTCAAGACTCTGTCTGTGATCATGGGGGTCTTTGTGTGCTGCTGGCTTCCTTTCTTCGTCTTGAACTGCATGGTGCCCTTCTGTGGGTCTGGGGAGACCAAGCCCTTCTGCATTGATTCCATCACCTTTGATGTGTTTGTGTGGTTTGGGTGGGCTAATTCTTCCTTGAACCCCATCATTTATGCCTTTAATGCTGATTTTCGGAAGGCATTTTCAACTCTTTTAGGATGCTACAGGCTTTGCCCTACCACGAATAATGCCATAGAGACAGTTAGCATCAATAACAATGGGGCTGTGGTGTTTTCCAGCCATCACGAGCCTCGAGGCTCCATTTCCAAGGACTGCAATCTGGTTTATCTGATCCCACATGCAGTGGGCTCCTCCGAGGATCTGAAGAAGGAGGAAGCAGGTGGAATGGCCAAACCCTTGGAGAAGCTGTCCCCGGCCCTATCTGTCATTTTGGACTATGACACCGATGTCTCTCTAGAGAAGATCCAGCCCATCACACAAAACGGACAGCATCCAACCTGAAGCCTGAGATGAATCTGGCCAGACAGGCTCAGCCCAAAAGCTGGAGGAGATTTTCAGTGGCTTGCGAGGTGTGGTGAGACTCAGATGTCAGGCGAGCCCTCCTCTGCTGCTTTTCCTCCAACACACAGCTAACTATATTTTAAAATACATTCCAGTGTGTTTTCTTTGTTGTTCATAGTGAATCCAAGAGGGACATATGTGAAGTGAACGTTCACAGGGATGTGTCTTTGGCTCCAAAATTATTTTTAGAAACTGATTCTTATCTTAGGACTTGAAAAATAGGGCGCAGAATCAACAATGAACAGCATCGCTTAAAAAGTAGATCCTCTCCCGGAAGGAGATGAGAAGGGTTGAGTTTGTTGTGTACAAACAGGTGCTAACACTGGTCCAAGGAGAGTTTTCAGATTGTAAAGGTAGGTGCATGCCTTCATAAATTATTTCTAAAAAATAATTGAGCCTTACAGTAGGAGTGGGATTTTTTTTTCGGACTTGAGAGATGCTTTGTTGATATTGGTTTTATTTATTTATTGTATTATACGGATATTTTTAATTTATTAAATAAATCTATATTTATCAGATGTCATAGGATAAACTAATAAGTTACTGAGAACTTACAGTCACATTTCGTCTGTGTAACTAGCACTTTATTGGCCAATGAAACAAACAGAGAAACTCTGAGATTCTAAATACTCATATATAACTTCCAGAGACACAGCCAAGGTTGATAGGAAATGAAGTTGTGATAATTCCTTAAAATTCTTTGGCATAAATAAATACGAGGTGGGAACTGACAAATGCTGTGAATTTTTTTCTTCTAGAAAGATTTTGAAAAACAAAAAGGCATAGCTACTATTATGTTCACATTTTTTTGAATGACAGTACTTCCCCAGGACAAAGATTTGCCGTTCTGTAAATATCTTAAGTAAAAGCCAGCTTAAGAAAGATCTGACTTGAAATTTATGATCTTAGGGGGTAATAAAAAGTATGTGCCACTTTGTATTTATGTAAAATACTTGGCCCTCTGCGTCTTTTCTCATTTCAGTGTCAGATAGCTTTTCTGAACCAAACACATGGCTGTCCTGGTTGGATACGTGTATGAAGACAGTAGGTATCTTTAATTCTTGCATTGCAACAGTGTCACCAATGGACAGAGGTCAAATCCTGCATCTGTATCTTACCAGGCCAAATCACACCACTCAGTGGGGCGACTTTTTGTAGTGCTTTAATCTGAATTTAGAATCGATTTTTTTTTTTTTAAGTCTAAATGTTAATAGTATACTGACTAATGAATAGTGCCTCATTATCATCCTCGAGTTAGACATTTCTCTTGGTGGAAAAAACAGGAGACCCTTTCTCTTTGGGTGTGTTAAGTGCCCCAAAGCCACCAGTATCTCATTTGACAAATGCTAGCTCCTTCTCTGTGCTTCGGAATCAAGTTCCTATCTCATCAGCTCAACTGTATAAAGTATCCTGAATCTCTCCTGCCAGATACTCATCATGTGGGGGCATTTCAAGAGAATTTCTTTGAAATGTTTACAGGGTATCCTTGTTGATAAACAATTTACACAGCAGTTAGGTGACATGGGTACCAAGAAGGAAATCTACTGAAAAGTGTTTCCTGCATCAGGTCCGTGTTATTTATGCATTGTGAATGTTTCTTCATTTTATTGCCTGTATGCTTTCTTACATATAATAAAATTATTTTGTGAACTCAAATCAATCCTGAATGAGCTGTGTCCTGTTTGTTAAGTGTGTTTTAAAATCAGGGCTATTTCAGACTTATGAGTAAGAGAACATGGGTGTTTTTGAGGATAACTGACTTTTGCTTTTCTTTTTAATGCAAATTTCTCCTGTTATGGATGCCACAGGTTGCCTTGGACTATTTAAACAGGAAGTGTTTTTGATTTGGACTACACAATCCTGTGGGGGGTTTTTTTTGGTTTAAAAAAAAAAACCACATTTTTAAAAAAGAAACTCTCTTCACTTGAGGGATTACTCTACTTTTCATTTCACAGATTTGAAAGCTTTCCAAAAATCTCTGCTTTTTCTTTCAAAGAGCCCCGAGATATTAAGTAATAGAAAAATCACAGAAAGGACTGTGGCTTGCCTGCTGTGGGGGGTGTGGACCATCAGCTACGGCAAACACTGTATTTATGGGTAGTGTTTGTTTTAAGAAGAAAATAAAACAAGAATTTCTTTCTGGAGAAAATATATAGGTTGTAATGTTGGGCTTTTCCAAATATCTTACGGGGCATATCCATCAATTCTGCTAAACCTGCCTAGTTAATGTGCTAATCTCTTTCTTTCTTTCTTTCTTTTCTTTTTTCTTTTTTTTTTCCATCCTGAATAAGGAGAACGACCGAACAGCAGGGGATATAGAAATTAGGGTTAAGTTTATAATTTGGAACATCACACAACAGATGGTGTCTTTTTAAATTCCATATTTGCCTTCCCAAGGCTTTGGCATATAATGAACATATCTAGAATGAACACCCATAAAGCATGAAGCCTGTTCTTTCTGCTTCCTGACTTTCTGGATATCTTTATTCTTTGCAGTTTAATTTTGTCCCTTAATTAGTAGTCCAGGAGCACCAGCTATGACACTCAGGGTTGTCATTGTCCAACCAAGGAAAAGCGGCACAAAAGCCTTTGCTATTTATTTCACTGGCAGAGTGAAAAATAAATGATATGTCTAGAAACTCTATTAAAAGAATTATAAAATTCGGTACACCCCGGGTGAGACTGTACTTTGGGTTCCCGGCACACAGGTAAAAGTACCTTATGAAGTGTTGATTTTACTGATAGAATCTTTCTGAGAATTTGATTTATAACCATAAATGCAAAATTACAGTATGATTTTTATTTCATTTTTAGCTATCATGATAAGGCTTCATAATGCCAAATAAAATTGTGAAACACTTTAGCAAGGTAGAGAGAATTTAAAAGAGGTATTCTTTTTCTCTTTCTATCTAAGAAGATGGCTTTCCTGGTGAAATAGACTCAGAGCTCCTACAGGTGATTGAACAACAGGAAGTCCTCTGGAAGGGGGACTGAGCATGAGGCTTCAGCCGGGAGGTTTCGGGTGTGCATGGAAAAGTCACTGCTTTCTCTTGGGAGCAAAGCAGTGACAGTCTCTGAGTCTTACTTGTCCGGACTGATTAAATGGGAGGAACAAAACCTCTGCATCCACATTTTTGGTGGAGGGATCTCTCCAAAAAGCCAATCAACATGTGGTCTAACTTCAGGGACTTTATGGTTTCTCCACTCTCTGGGGCTCCGTCCCGGCCTGATTCCCTCCCTGGCCTGCACCAGCAGCATTTCACCTGGATCCTTCTACCCCTAGGAGTCAGATCCCATGTGGGGGCCTGGTTGGCAGAAAACACAGGCTTTGTTTCAGACAGACCTGGGTTCACCTTGCAGCTACCTCCTTTAGGCTGTGTGAGGGTGAACAGGTGTCTGTTCCTCTCTGAGCCTACTCACCCATTTGTGACATGGAAATAAACACACAGGTTCTCGTGAGGGCTTAAATGAAGCCAATGTCTATAAGGGTAAGGAGAAGCGAAATGTGGGGCTCACAGGTTCTCTATAGGATCTTTGCTTTAAAGGGGTCGATGACAATATTTATTGCATTGGTAAAATTGAGGCTGCTTGTTATGTGTCATCTTGTATGTTGGTTTGAAGCAAAAGGAAAGGACTTTTAGGACTCGTGGTTCAGGATTTTCCCAGACACTGTTCTCTTTTGCTGTGGGTATCTGGTATTCCAGAAGCAAGTGGCTGTTAATATCTGCGTGCTTAAGATGATTGCCTTAATTTATCACTAGATACTGACTAAATTAACCTAGCCATGATGTTTGAGTCTATAAGATCTACTTATACCTTGCAAAATTTGTTTCAGAAATAATGAGCTGATGACTGGTTGCCCCTGGGCTGTGAAAACTAGGACCTGGTGATCTGCACGATCTGGTTACTGTTGTTGTTTGAAGGAACTAATGCAGTAGATCATGAGTTTGTAGTATTACATGGATCAGATGCACCTCTGTGGATTTCTTTGTGATTTCCTGGGTATAAACATTCCATAATCAACCTGTTTATTTTTATAGAGGATTGAGGGGATGGTGAGTATTACAGCACAGAGAACCCCTCTAAGGTTTTGTTACCAGGGCAATTGAGCCGTGTTGCCTTCTGTCATGTTAAGTAACTTCCATGTGATGGACAGAATTAAAAAAAAAAAAAAAAGAGGAAAGCAGCATTTGGACTTTAGAGTGTTACATCATTCAAGATTTGGGAGTTGTAATTTAAATAGTATTAGGATCTCAAGCATAATCTCTGGTTTAAAAGGGTTTAACTTTTTATCACTATGCAACCATGTACAAAACCACTTAAATTCTTTTTCATGTTCATAGAATAGATATTCCTACTAGCTCTCAAACTGGTAACTGTTTCTAGCCACTGAAAAAGATCTTCCCTGAATTATATCCGCAGAAGGGAACCCACCTAGCAGAAATGCCAACAAAAGGGCAGTGGGTAGTGGGACCTGGGAGGACTGAACTGAGGGACAGAGTTTTTTATTTCATTTACAATTAAAAAAAAAATAGTTTGGATAAACTACTTTACATCCCTTGAAAATAGGTTTTCTCATCTCTGTGACAAGAGGGTTAGAAGAGATGATTTCTGAGTTATTATTTTAGCTTGATGATACTAGATGTGAGCTCCACCACAGGCAAAACATGAGTCTGGTAGGTTTCCCCTGACATGTTTCCCAAACCTTCACTCTCTTTCTTATTAGAATGCGAACAGAGTGATATTTATAAAATGCAAATATGACTGTGCTATGCTTTTGCTTAAAATGCTTCAGTGACTCCCAGTTACTTTTAGGCACAAAAGGCCCTTTGCTTTAGGGCCCGTGGTGTTCTCTGCAGCCTTGTCCACTGGCATTACCCTGCCTTGCACTGTTCCTACAGACACTCTAAACTTCATACAGTCTGGGTAGTGTACAAAGTCCTTCCTTATCTTTTTCGCCTTTGCACATGCTGTTCCTTCTGCTGGGAACACTGTTCCATGCTGCTTTTGTTTGCCTGATGCCACCAATGTTTTAAGATTTAGAGGGACATATTTGCAGAAGACCTTCCTTGGCACCTTCTTCCTGCCTCTACTTCTCTTATTTCTTTGTAAGAGTTCACCCTGCCATAATGAAATAATCTCCTTACTTCCTTATCTTTCTCCCTAGATTATGAACATTTTGAGAGCAAAAGTGGTTTTATTCTTTTTCCCTTCCTCTAAATATTTCTAGGCACCCAGCTCGCTGTCTAGCTTACAAGATTTGCCTGTTAAGTTTCTGTTGAATGAAAGAAGGAACAAGTCACAACAGAAGATGTTGGAGCCACAATTTTTGTGAAATGTAATTCTGGGGGGCTTGGTACAGATGCGTAGGTCTTCTAGGCTCTCCCTAATA